CACCCTGAGCCCATCCTTGGAATTCATTCTGCACTCAAAACCCTGGCATTCTGTGCTGGAGATAGCTGGGGCAGCCACAAAGATTTCAGACGTGCTTTGGGTGTCATTCTTCCATAGAGCTAGGTGAACAGCACATTTCCTTCTGTACATAATAATCTCACTAAATCGTTGTCCAAACCCCTGGTGTTTCCACCTGATCATGCTTTCTTATTCTTTGCAATCTGGACAGGCTGAGATTTTTCCAAACCTTTAAGTTCCACTTCCCTTTTCATTGTTCCACTTCCCATCTTTAATTCATTTTCCTCTTCTTGCATTTTATGATAAGCTACCAAGAGAAGCCATGCAGCACCCTGAACACTGCTTAGACATTCCTTCCACCAAATATCCTAATTCATAGCTTTAAAGTTCACATTCCACAAAGCATTAGGACATGGAAACAATTAGGCCTATTTATTTTCCACATTACAGCAAGGATAGATTTTTCCTCTAATGTCCATTACCTTGTTTCTCATTTCCATGTCTAAGACCACATCAGATTTGCCTTTACCATCTACATTTCCACTAACATTCTGTTCACAGCCATTTAATAATCTCTAAAAAGATTCAGGCTCTCTGTGTAACTCTACTCTTCTTCTGAGTCCCCAATAGAATAGTCCTTCATGATCTGCTCTCCATCCATTAGCCAGTACTAGAACTCTTCCACAGTTTTAAATAGTGTTATAGCTGCACTCCACTTATCAGTTCCGATTTGTCTCAAATTGTTTCTGCAGCTGTAACAAAATACCACAGACTATGTAAACAATAGACATTTATTTCTCACAGTTTCAGAGACTGGGAAATCCCAAATCAAGTTGCCAGCATTTTTTGGCATCTGGTGAAGATTCACTCTCTGCTTCAGGATGCCACCTTGTATCTGTATCCTCACAGAAGAGACCCCAAAAAGGAACTAATTCTCATCTTTATGCCCATTTATAAGAACAGTAATCTCATCTCTAAGGCAGAACCCTCAGGGCCTAACCATCCCTCAAAGGCCCTATTTCTTCATACCATCACATTGAGGGTTAAGTTCCAGCATATGGATTTTGGAAGGAACATATAAGTTTAAATAATAGCACTGACCAGGACATAGATTTTTTAAATCAATTATTAGAGTTATAAGAAAATGTAACACAGTACAAGCTGACCCTCAATTAGCTTTAGAAGATTGAACACACCTAACATATAATTAATTTCAAATCAAATTATAACATTAGGATTTTGATTTGCAAAACACTATGCATGCCTACAGCATCTTTTGTTTTGCAGAGTAGAAAGATTTTCAACTTTGGTCTATTTCTATATATGGGATAATCATCAGTGGAAGTATAATCAAATCAGTTTTTAAAGGAATAGTTTTTTTCCACTTCATTATAATGAATTATAGAGCAGGAAAAATAGGTGCAACTTCAATTCAGCTCTTGCATGGTTGGACATTTTTTAATCAACATAGCCACAGGGTGTCTAATTTTACCCCTTTGGTATGATACTTTTCTGTATTCAAAGACAATTGCAGTTGATAATAGCTTTGATAATAAAGGCTACATTTATTGAATTGTTACTCTGATCAGGCTCTAAGCTATTTGTGTCATTTTGCATGCTTAATTTTCTTAATGTCTCTCTCTTTTTCTTTCTTATTAATCTCATGTAAACCCAGGATCTTCATGCAACCACAAGAGGTGCTGGTTTGTAAATATTCCACAGTCATTAATAAGAAGATTTGTTTAAGGGGAAAAAAAGTGTCCTGTCATAAGATGAAGGTTAAATAAAGGCCTGTATACTCAGCCAAATCCAAAAGAAAATAAAACGAATCAACATGTTAGTGCATATTATATTATAATCAGAGCAGAATGCCAGAGATTATTCTCCCCAAATGTTTTGTTCTGTGATTGAGAATCCAATGCAGCTAAGTGGTATGGATGAGAATTTGCAAGTAATTAATATCAAAGCAGTGCTAAGACTCATAATTTCAGAAACCCAAATTGTATTTCTAAATACTTATAAGAACTGTATATTTTGCACTGAAATAGTATTTCCAGCCATATCAATATTTATGTATTTGCAGTTATCACCAGAGGATGATGCAGAACTTGGGTTGTTAGAAGTAACTATTAATTCTTTACAAATACAATTAATTACAAGTGCAATTAATTCTCTTTTTTTTAAAGAGTGAGAGAGGGAGAGAGAGAGAGAATTTTTTAATATTTTATTTTTTAGTTATCGGCGGACACAACATCTTTGTTTTGTATGTGGTGCTGGGGATCGAACCCCGGCCGCACACATGCCAGGCGAGCGCGCTACCGCTTGAGCCACATCCCCAGCCCCGCAATTAATTCTTGACAAATAATACTTTAGATTTCAGGCAGATAACAAAATTTTGATTCCATACACTACAGAAATTACTCAGGAGACATCCCCCCCATAGTCCCCAGGTTATATATAAAATGTCTATTTTAAGGCAACTTGGGTTCTGTTTTTTGTGTTCTTTTGTTGTTGCTGTTGTTTTTTCTTTTGCAATTCCACATTTGCTCCCAATTTATTTTCTGCTTTTCCTTGTAACTATTCTCTATTGCTTTCCCTTTCTTATTTTCTCTCTGGAAAATTCATATAAAGTTTCTCATCTCAATACCGATATTAAGACCCACTCTTCTATCACTCCTTCTCTTGCTAAACTAAAATACATATGCAAACCATCCATAAGTCTGTATGCAGGGAAATAGTTATATAATTTTCATTGACAGTTATATTCAATATTTAAAGGATAAAGAGAGTGTCCTGCTTTAATGAAGTTTCCATGATTGAAATATCCTTTTGGTGACTAATTGATACTAAAATCTTAAACAGAAATATATTCCTTTGAGTATTTCCTATATATTTCTAGAAAGCTACTTGCTATTTAAGTTCCACATAAAAAACTATTACACAATTTACACAAAATATATTGTACCCATGAAAAAAAAATGAGGCTTTATTTTTATATACCTATATTCCTTAACAATTTAGTTCTGGTGATATGTAGAGTGTCTCAACATTTTTGTTGACATTATTGAATTTATAATTCCCTCTTCTGTCATATCCTTTAGAGATCTTGTTTTGAATAATTTTAGGATATACCTATTGAAAATACTGTTAATTTTCTCCCTGTAGTTCAAAATTAATTTCTAAAGTATTTCTATGATAAATATGCATATAGAAATATGTTTCTACCTAACTGACCATTAATAGTAATTTCATATTTTTAGCTTATTATAAATGATAATTTGGTTTGATTATAGCTTTGACTATGTTTTTCTATGTTTCATATATTAGAAGCCTTGTCCTCAGTGTGTAGTGGAAAGTGATAGGCTATTTAAGAGTAGGAGCTTGGTGAGAGGTCCTTAGATCATTTGAGGCATGTCCTTGGAACCACAGCCTATCAGGCTTCTTGTTTTGAGATTTGATCACTTCCTCCCAAATGGGTTCAGTCATGGAGATACCATCCACCTTTATAGTATCATTGGTTTACAGGCTGAACACATGGCCTTGGAATTTCAAGTACTTAAAACTAAGAGCTAAGTGAACCTCTTTTCTTTTAAAATTAGATTGTCTCAGGTGTCTCATTATAGTAAAAATATAAGACCAATGCATGTAGAACCACATTACCGAAATTACCAAATAAATGTCTATGAAGATGCACAGGCACACATATACATATGTTGTCATTTTTAGTTATGACTGAATTACAAAATATACAACACTAAAGTACACCAATATTAAATGAATAAACAGGTATAGGAAATTTTATATATGTCTTTTTTATTTTTATTAACCTCAAAAATATTTCACTACTATAGAAATCTCTCTATCTGACTTTCCAATCTATGCTACTCCTAAGGGTAAAAATTATTATGATTATACCTCCATAAATTATATTTTTCTGTTTTGTTTTTATTTTACTTATGGTGTTATGAATGCTGGCAAGCCCAATTCTGAACAGGGGGTCAGTTGGCTGTGGACCAGGGCAGAATTCACTTTGTACATTAAGTGTGACGTCTGTGAGCTGATAGAATTCCCTTTTACTCAGGGAAGTCAAATTTTGTTCTGTGGACCCACAACTCATTGGATGAGGTCCGCCCATATTAGGGAGCACAACTTGCTTTTATGTAACTCCACCAATTTAAATGTTCATCTCATCCACAAATGCTTTCACAGAAACATCCAGAATAATATTTGACTATATATCTGTATACTGTGGTTCAGTCAAGTTGACACAGTTAATCATCATAAGCCTACCTCTTGTCAACCTGACAGCAATACTCTGAAATAAAGGCAATTAAAAAGTTTACACTCCTCCCTAATATGAAATAATTGCCCTGTGTACAAACACAAGTGAACTAACCCTCTTCCCGGAAGAAAATTATCAGCCTCTGAGTAATACTGCTCTTCTCCTTGATGTACTTGTATACCATGATGTAAATTATCCAATATTTAAATATTGGAACAAATTTGACATACCTAGGCTATATGACAAAGGAATACTCAATGGAAGAAAGCAAACATATTATATAGACATGCACATATATATAATAAGATGAAGTGGGAAAGCTCATGAAAATTATAGTCCTGTTTTCTGTAATAGTCACATGGTTATTACTGGTATTTATAACTACCTTTTTCATTATTCCAAATTCCTCTTTCCAGTAGTGAGCACTTTCATTGACCAAAGTTCTTGGTTGGGTGGTTTAATCCTTCATTTAATTAACATACCTGGATTAGATTGCCCTCATTTTTCTATTAAGGGTAATCACAGGGGCATGGTAATACTGAGGGATGGCCTCAAGGATCCCTTCCATTCCTGGAATACACTTCCTTATTTTATTGTGGAATGGTAGTCCACCTTTCCTTTGGAAATCTCAATTAATCACCTTAGCCAACACAGCAATTCCTTTCTTTGCATTTATTCAAGAGCATGAAGGGTACAAAGTTTCTGGTTGACAGTCTTAATGTCCAGTTCAGTGGGTCATTGCTATATCTCCTAGTAGAATCGTTCCTTCCTTTAGACTTTTAAGCAAGCAGAACATAAGGTCTTGGATCCAGTGGGCAAATAATTTGGTAGGGGGGGCACTTGGGGTAGTGGTGAGAGCTGCCACTTCTATCTGTATGCTTTTATTCCTGGACCTGAAAATCCTGATTGTAGAAAAGACAACATGATATACTAGGTGCTGATTCAGAGTACTAGCCTCCTAAGAAACTTTGCCCCAGCTCTGCAAAGTATTGCTGGCCATTTGGAATTGTACTTGAGCTTTCAAAAGGCCATCATATTAATTTAAAGGTTAATATCATCCAAAACATCCTCAGAAAAACTTGCAGAATAATGTTTTATCCTTTATCTGGGCAGTATGGACCAGCCAACATAACACATATATTAATCATTACAAAGTAAATAGCTCTTTGAGACCATAAATTGAATTTGGACCATTCATCAGTTAAGTGATTATCCTGTGAAGAGAACAGTGCTGCTCTATTTGCCATACTATATAGAAAATAGAATTTATATATTCTTTTCTACTTGCCATATTTAAAAAATTATGATGGGCCAAAGTTTCAAGTCTAAAAGCTGTATGTACTGATCTAACATACGTAAAACCCCATAATCTCTATTGTCTCCCAGCCTTGTATTTTTATTACCAAGTTCTGAACTAATTATGCATACCACCCTGTTAAAATTTCCTTTTGCTCTTGTACCAAAGTACTACACTAATCGGTACCCAGGAAAAGCTTACAGTGAGATAAGAAGGACTCTTAAAAACAGATGATTATGAAAGAAATGAAAACTGTCCCTTTCCCTTATCTTCAATCTTTAGGTGAGAATCAAAGCACACAGTGACCTTGGTTATAAAATAAAGAGAATGTACTTATAAACATCTGTGAAGATCCACCTGTGCAGTGGGCATGTGAACTATCCTATATATTCCCCCTGCTTCTAAGTGTGGTGCAGCACCTCCGTTGTATCCTAGCCTGCTGCTGCTGAGGAGCATGCTAGTAATAAAATTCCCCAAATTTTTCTGTTGAGTCCTCCAAGTTCCTTCTTTGGGATCAATAAGCAAAACACTGGAGTCTTTGTAGCCCTAAGGTTGAACAATGTCTAAAGCATGCTAGCTTCAAAGTAAACTTTCATTTTTCATAGTATCATCTTTATACTGTATTACTCAGCTTTTTGCTACCATAATGAAACACAGAGACAGACTAATTTATAATTTAGCTCACAGTTTTGGAGTCTAAAAGTCCAAACTGTATGGTGCAGGCATGAACTCAACTCTGGCAAATGGTCTCCTCTGGATATGTCACACCTTGATGGATTGAAAAGGGATGGGTGCATGTATAGGCAAGTTATCACATTTCAGTATAGGAAACTGGAGATCTAGGTAGAACTAAGCTCATGTTTTCATAATAACACTTGCAAAAATAAACAAAGGGTTATTCAAGAACCTTGTTAACATCTCGACTTCTTCAAGATTCCTTCAGTTCCTCACTGCCAGAAGACCAAGCTCCATAAACAACACATACCCTTGGGGGACAAGCCAAACCAAACAGAAACACATACCCAATATGCCCTATGGCACTTAACTCTATTTATATTTACCTACTACTGGAGTTTAATAGCTGTAAAATTTGTCAACTTATTAAGTTTGTTGTAGTAAAAATATTCTTTCACATCCCATTTTAATTTTAATGAGATAATCACTTGCCTTCCATTTTTCTAAAGAAATTCTTTATATTTAGAGAGGCAATACTCACAAGTCCTAGGAAGGACAAATATCTATTTCTTATTTTTCCTAGATATTCCTTTTCCCAAATAATGGAAATGTGTAACTTTGCTATTTCAATTACACTACCCAGTTTTCTTCTTTTCCTGTGGAGAAAAGATATGCTTCTATGATTCTAATGCTATATGATGTCATATTGTATAATTGAATAATCATTATTCATATAACATGTACAAACACTCTAGTCAATTGGTGTTTATCATTGAAGAGAAAAAAGGATTTCTGCCTTCTTGGAGTTCCTCAAGTCCTTTCTCCACTGAATTAAGTTCAGCTGAACTTTTAGTGTTCTTCACGGGTCATTTTCTTTCCTAGCATATTTAGGGAAAAAAGAGGAGAGAAAGACAATTTTATAAAGACAAACAGAGAGTTTATCAGTAATGGAATTTTAATCTGGGAATAAGGGATGATATTACAGAAAGATTTGAAATGCAAGAAGAAATTCTGAACACAGACATTGTTATAAAAGGAAAAGTTGGATATAAAAATAACCCATATAAGTTTCTAAAATAATGGTGATAACAGCATATAATAAATAATAAAGCATATTTTGAAGTGGTTGAAATGCAACAACAAAACATTGGAAAATATTAGCAAGTCAGCAGGAAGTTGATTAGTGTTAAATTTCCCTAACAAATTTGCATTTGTAATGAAAAGAGTGATTTTGACTAATGTACTCTATCAAAATAACAGAATTTCATGGTAATTATTAAAAGAAGTAATTAGAGGAAGAAAAATAGGAAGCTCTGAAAAGAAAAAATAAAGTATCCATCAAAAGAAGAAAGGTATAAAAAGAAGTATAATGAATGATATGAATAGAACAATACAAACTGATAGAAAAAAAAATTATGAAAATAAAAGTGAATTATAAACCAACCAGTTCAAATAAAGTAGATTTTTGTATTGGACTTAAAAACAGGAATAAAACAATATAAACTGGAAGAAGGTTGAAAATACAAGCATGTAAAAATCTATTAGTTTCAAATCAATAATCCAAAGGCACCATAAAATGTGAAGTATAACCATAAAAATGTGAAATACAACAGTGCTTGAGAAAGTTTATGAATGCATAATTAAAATATGGTATTATATAAAATGACAGATTAAAGTTTTAGAAAATGTAATTAAAAATAAAATTTTCCCCCAGAAATCCTCTCTACAAGGTAGTAGAAAAAGAAACACTTTTATTATTGAATTAGCATTAAGTAGTTTTATTACTCATCATATGTAATCCACTCTTATATTACAAAAAGAAAATAAAATCTCACCATTTTATATAGCCATATATATGCAATCCATTAGATATATTGTCAAGATAGACTATAAAGAATCCTGAAGTAAGAGGACTTGACAGCATCATTTGTCATCATCTGTCACTAATTCATCCTAACATTACATGGTAATTGGATGGCCATCTGTGTTTGCTAACTGGCTTTATTCAAAAGAAAAACAAACTTGTCATATATTTAGAAGAGATAGTTATGAAACTTGGAGTAAGGTGCCTACTCAAGGTAGTTAGGCTCCCACTCTCCCAACAATTGGAGATAAGTGTGCAATTATTCTTTATATATGCATCTTAAAGAGGTGACTCCTGGGTTCTTCAGAAAGATTTTTCAGAGTCATAAAGCTCACAAAATTCTTTCTAGTTTCAAAGGGATTTATATACATTTGAAAGAGAGAAAATGGCTGGCTGGGGATGTAACACAGTTGTGAAGCATTTGCCTAGCATCAGGTAGGGGTTCTTTGAAATTACAAGTTTTCTCAAGTAATTAAAGAGGAAAGTGAAATATTTCTTATTTTCAACAGGGATAACTAAGCCTCCCGTTTTTAATTTTTTTATATATTTTTTCTTACAAAATACACCAGAACAATACAAAAATGAAAAACTAAACTTCTATGCCCATAGTAATAGAACCTTAAAATATGTAAAGCAAAAATTAATGAAACAAAAAGATGAATCTGGTATTAAATGATTTCCATACATGACTCTTTTAATATTGACAGACCAAATAAGAAAAATAAGCAGTAATATAGAGAAGTTAACAAAACATATAGGATTGATTTAATGAAAATTCAGAGTCCCAGAATAGTGGGGAAGTTAATTTTCTGCCTCAGCTCACTTTTTCCACTGAAGAAATTGTGAATCTGTGGGAATATTGCGTCTGGCACCATAAGAGTTTGAGGGAGAGGCAATGTGTCATAGAAAATTATTCATTCCTATTATCTGCCATGCAACCAACGCTGGCTTCTTGAAAGAAGGTTCGATTCATGAGTAAATGCTAGGGAGTTTTAAATTAAAAAGACAAGACTCTTATTACCTTTAAAACCAGCTCCTGGACAGCTTTTCCTAGCTCCCGCCTCCAGCCACCTAATAGGGTACCAAGGTTTACAGAAGAGACTAGCGAGAGAGCGAGAGCATGCCAGGGAGTGGACTTTTATTGGGGAACAAAAAATTCAAGGGAAAATCCCATCCAATGAAGGTTAAAGCATCCCAAGTTCACGGGCGATGATTGGGTCTTTGGGGCAGTGGCCAGACACGCCTCTGCATGGACAAGTCCTTGGACCTGGGAAAGGGTGGGAAAAGCTCTGACACAGCTGTGTCTAAGTGCCTCTCACCCAGCCAGGAGGTAACTCAAATTACATGTGAGGATGGCCTCCCCATTATTACTGTTTGATCATATATCTTCTTCATTCTGTAATCCAAAGGTGTGTTTCAGCCTCACTTTCAAGTTCTGGAATATTTAGAATGATATCTTTACCTATGGAAAGGGGATGGCTGAATTTTTGTTTGGAGTGAATTGATAGGGGACAGACAGATGAGAGTGGTAGGAACACAAGATTAAAGGAATAATTCTATTAACAGGGTCCACTATGCTAACCCCCTTGTGTTTTCACTTTTGAAAAGCAATTTACCTACAGCCCTGCCTAGCTTAACTGGACAGGATACTTACATCCTTCAGCAAACTACCTGTTATCTCCATGAAAAATACAGGCCTGAAATCCCAAAATGCTGATGATGACAATACAAGTTACTCCGAAGGGGAGGTCTCTTGTGACCCTTTCACAGACCAGATCCCAGAACTCAGGGAGATAAGTATAATTCCTCCTAACCATAAAATCTGGAACAATAGGTTAGAACCAGTCAGCATGGATCAAAGTGACCTGGAGTTGTCATGGCAGCAGGGACTTTAAAGCTTATTATCATTCTGCAGTCAACCTAAAACAGAGGTAGACTTGGGTGGGACTCTGGAAACTACCCTGAGACCCCAAATGAATGGGAGAACAAGAGAGCCATACTGTCCCTCTCCTCTCTGAGAGGACCCACTCTCCCTTGACAGTGTCCCCTTTTCCTCTCCCTTCTAGTAAACTCATGCCTGTTACCCTGAGTGACATGTCAAAAATATTTCTGACTTGTTCACAAGAATTGGGATTTGAAGGTGGGGATTTTGTGCTGTCGATTTCCCAGAAGACCCCTATAACAGAATGAAGCTGGAGAACTCTTATTTTGACATCTTGCTAATGTCACTCTGAAGTTTGTTCCAGCATGAGTAGACTAAATAATTTTATACTCCAAGTTATGATCTCTAGAATGATAGAAACTTGTAAGAATCTCCTGGATAGGGAGCATAGAGAATTGAGTGTGAGAAACATACAGTTTAGGGAACAATTCTATAAAATGAGCCCACTGTGCTGACCTTCATATGCTTTCACTTTTTTTTTTTTTAAGATGGACACAACACCTTTATTTATTTATTTATTTTTATGTGATGCTGAGGATTGAACTCAATACCTCATACATGCCAGGCAAGCATTCTACCACTGAGTTACAGCCCTAACCCTTAAATGCGTTTTTGACTTGTGATATTTTCAGTCTATGTTGGATTTATTGGAATATAATGCCATCTTAATCTAAGGAGCATCTATGTTTGAAACAAATAGAAATTGAATCAAATAGAGATGATTCTCTATACAGTCTGATAGTGACCATTTTATTTTGTTTTGTTTTTAGTATCAATATAAATACATGCCTTTAAGTATGTTTGATATTTCACTCCATTGCAATTGTTATCTTTTTGGATACTCAAAAATTTCCCCCCTCCGATTGTGCACAAAGTCTATTCACACCAATTCGTGCCTTCATACATGTACTTTGGATAATAATTATCATCACATTCCACTATCATTTATAACCCCATGCCCTCTCCCTTTCTTCCCTCCAGCCTCTCTGCCCTGTCTAGAGCTTGTCTATTCCTCCCATGTTCCCTCTCCCTATTCCACTATGAATCAGCCTCCTTATATCAAAGAAAATATTTGGCATTTGGTTTTTTGGGATTGGCTAACTTCACTTAGCATTATCTTCTCTAACTCCATCCATTTACATGCAAATGCCATAATTTTATTGTCTTTTATTGCTGAGTAATATTCCATTTTGTATATATGCCACTTTTTTAATCCATTCATCTATTGAAGGGCATCTAGGTTGGTTCCACAGTTTAGCTATTGTGAATTATGCTGCTATAAACATCCATGTGGCCGTGTCCCTATAGTATGCTGTTTTTAAATCCTTTGGGTATAGACCAAGGAGAGGGATAGCTGGGTCAAATAGTGGTTCCATTCCCAATTTTCAAAAAAAAAAAAATGTTCATCATCACTAGCAATTAAAGAAATGCAAATCAAAATCACTCTAAGATTTCATCTCATTCCAGTCAGAATGACAGCTATTATGAAGACAAACAGCAATAAGTGTTGGTGAGGACGTGAGAAAAAAGGTACACTCATGCACTGCTGGTGGGACTGCAAATTGACTCAGCCAATATGGAAAGCAGTATGGAGAGTTCTTATATGCTTTCATTTTCAAAAAGCAATTTACCTGCAGCCCTGTCTGCTTTAAGTTGACAAGATATGTTACATACCTCAGCAAACAACTTATAAATCTAGGAAAAATGCAGACCCAAAATGCCAATAAGAAGAATACAATTATCCTAAAGTTGGTAGTAGGAGACTTTTGTAACCCTTTCACAAAGGAGATTCCAGATCTCAGGGAGGTAAGAATAATGTCCCAAATTATAAAATCTGTAGGAACAGTTCAAATTAGACCCAGTCAGCACGGACAGTTGATGAAATTGTGATGTACAGTAGTGACTGGAAAGTCTGATGTAATCCTGCTGTCAAAAGTCAAGAGGTGAGTGGGACTTTCTGGAAACTTCTACTGGAACTCCCAATAAAACTGGAAAGCAAGAGAGTAATACCTCCCTCTATCCCTCTCCTCTCTGAGAGGACCCACACTGTCCCTTAAGAGGGTCTACTTTTCCTATCCCTTTTAATTAACTCATGCCTGTTACTCTAAGGACCATGTCTGAAATCCTTCTGGCATGACTGTAAGAATCAGGGTGAAGGAAGGCATAGCAGGCTCCAGCCCTGTAACACTCATCAACAAAATGATGGCTAATCATGAGGTCTATTATTACTCTGTTAGTTCTGACCAAAGATAAGTAATGATTAAATGAGGATTAGGAAAAAAAAACCCTTATATTTATCTGCTAAGGTGTATAACAAAATGAAATCAGAATCTTATTTTGAAATTAATATAGATTTCTTGTCTCACAATTTTGGACACTAGAAGTGAAAGGTCACGTTTGGCAGGGTAGGCCTCTGATGAGTGCTCTCTCTGGTTCAGAGGAGATGACTGTCTTGCCATGTCCTAACATGTCCTTCCCTAAATGTATGCAAAGGGCTAAGGAGCACATGAGTGCCTGCTCCCTAAGGTCTCTTCATATTTCCACACTGATTCTGTCAAATCAGGGCCCTACATTTCTGGCCTAATTTAACCTTTTTTACCTTCTTATTTACATATTCTAATACAGCTAACATTGAGAATTTGGGTTTCCATATATGGATTTTGGGGGAACACAAACATTTAATCCATTGTACTACCTATCATTATCCACATACTATCTGAATTGTCACACAAAATAGAAAATAGTTTATAAACACTTTATTGTACAAAGTTTCTGGATAAAGAATCGATAAACAAAAACCAATCTTATTTTCATGCTTCATTAGAAAAATAAAAATTAATTAAAAAGCCCTCTAATTCCAGTGACAGCAAAATTTATGAAGTTTTAGGAATAAATGTAATAAAAACAGTAGAAGATTCTAATAGTTACAGCTATACAAACATATTCAAAACTCTAATGAAGTGGAGAAAACTTTCATACCTATTTTAGAAACAAAATTTAAAATATTAAATCTTAAAAATGTCTATATAGTTAATATCCTTCCAACTGAAATTTTCAAGTTATTTTCCAAGGATCGTGATAAGCTGATGGTACACAGAGAACACAATGCTTCAAAAACATATGTTAGAGAACTTGTAATTTGGGGCACCAGCATTTACTACAAAGCTATAGTAAAGAGAACTGTGAAAATTTTTAAAAAGATAAATCAAAATTGCACATAGCCAAGTGCAGTGAATAATCTCAGCAACTCTGGAAATTGAGGCAAGAGGATATCAATTTCAAGAAACCTAGGCACACTGTTTCAAAGTAAAAAATAAAATTGAAAAAACAGTTGGAAATGTAGCTCAGTAATACAGTGCCTTTGGATTGAATCTCCAGTACTGAAATAGCACACAATTATGGAAGCTTGGTAGATTGCAAAGGTCATATTCAAAGTCACTACAGAAAGAAAATTTGTATTAATAAAAGTGACTAAGTCAATTGATTGTCCTTATGGAAAAAGTAGTGAATTATAGAAGATAAAATAAAATAAATAAAAAGTGTATGAAAATCACTTATAATTTTAGAGAAGACTGAAAAATTGCTTTAAAATGAAGACATTTTGTTTAGCAGGGACCAAAGAAATTGATCAATATAAATTTAAAATATAATCTATAAAGAAATTTAAGCAGATTAAAAAAATAAAGCTAAAAATGTAATAAATTCCAATAAAAAACTGAGAAAAAGTATAAATATTTCACAAACAAGGAAACAGATACTAGATATAAAGCACTGATTTTTTTTCAGGAATCATAAAAATGCAAATTAAAATATCAATTATGTCATATTTGACATCAAATAAAAGTAGCAAGTATTAATAAGTGTGAAAATATAAACTAGTATAAAAATTGAGAAAAATTCTTACATGTTGGTGAAGGAGTAATTTTTTTTTAATTTTGTAATTTTTTACAAATACTCCAAAAAATAATTTGGCATATATTTATATATAGCATTATCATATGCTTTCAGTCTAGCACTTTCATTTCTAGGTATAAAACTTACATGAAGACTTCAAAGTGGGCATAAAGAGCAATATTCAAAAAAAGTAATAAGTACAATTATTTATAATAGCAAAAATTTGGAAATAATGTCCATCAATAGGATAATGCAAAAATAAATTGTGATCCCTTCACAGATTGAACCATTATAAAGAGTGACAATGAACTGGGGTAATGAACTGGGGTCGATATGTATTTCTAACATGTAGTCACATTAGAAATAGCTTTAATTTTAAATGCATAATTTCACTTTTTATGAAATTTAAAAATAACTGATCTCAGGGAAATAGAGAAAGGATCATAGTTACCAGACATGAGGAAAGAAAGGATGGGGAAAATTTGTTTAATGGGAACAAAGTCAGTGCTAGATGGGAGGAATAAACTCTGGTGCACTATTACACAGAAGAGTGACTGCAGTTAGTATTGAGCATTCACTTCAATAAATTAAAAGAGAGGAATTTAAATATTCTCAAAACAAAGAAGTGGTAAATGTTTGAGATAACGAATGAGCTAAATATCCTGATTTGATCATCATACAATATGTACATGTACTGAAACATCATACTAAAATCCATAAATATGTACAATAATTTGTCAATTAGAAAAAGAAATTTTTAAAAATAGAGAATGATACTTTCCATGTGATGTTATTTTATAACACACTAAAACATGAAAAAAGTCAATGAATTATTTAGATATGCATACAGAAATACATAGTCACTCACATGTACAACTATGAATGAAATATTAAAAGAACACAAGGAAATGATGCACTGTAAAATTGTCA